ATGTTACTTCAAAATGAAATATATTAAAACAAAAAGATCTTCATTTCTAATAAAATTTTACTTCAGTGATGACATTTTCGCAATAATATGATAATTCAAGAAAAAAAACCGAATCATTACAGAATTGATAACACTTTTAAAAATGGAAACACCATCCAATGAAACGCTTAGAAAGCTTAAGTTAAGTAAAACACTTGGTAACTGACTTTTAGATTATTGAATGGACTTCTCATGTAGAGATCGTACTGTATGATACTAATTCTAATAAAACAACGTATGTGTTCCCTGGGTTGACTTAGTTTCCTTTCGTAATCTCTTTGTTCTTGCTTCAGATACATTTCTCAACTGTTTGAGGTTTAATCATCAGATCCTCCGATCTATGTTCCAGTAAGGGATCTAAGCTAGTATTGTCATCTCCTTTGGTCTTTACCTCCAAACCTGATTGTCCATTTATCTTATCATAGCTCGATCTATTTTCTTAGAACATTGTTCAAAAGACTCCAAGGTGAATAACCCTTTTAAATACAAATTTAGAATAAGACACAGCAGAGCCAAATAATGAATGAAACTTACATTATACAGCGGTAACATTTTTCATTGAAAGTTAGTACCTGAACTGAGAAATCTAAGGGCAATAGAGGAATATGCATAGTGGTAGAAAAAATGACACAATCTAGACGGGGAGGTTCACCAGCCCAGTAATTCAATAAATTTCATAATATATATCTGATAATCTTGAATCAAGAACATATAGGTGAACCTAGCTACTATTTTAATCAATTAAAACGTAGTATATAGGTTAAGGTAAACTTCGGGGGTTAAAAGTCTACCAGCAGTGCTTACCATTCTCAATCACGAAAGTTGTTAAAAAAGACACAATTTAGAATAAGATAAGTAGAGTCAATTAAGGATTAAGTTGCATCATACGGCTTGGTAACCCTTTTCGTACTCGTCAGTGATGCTAAGAGCCTGGATTGCGAAAACAAGATAATACAAAGTGGGGTATAAAGTAAAAAAAACCATATATATTGAGAGTTATATTAGTTCAATGAACTGCGTCATTTCCACAAAAGTACATTATGGAATGATATAGGGAATAGTGTGTTCCTTTTGCGGTCTGTTTGAGATCTATCGGTTCTCTATGTGAAAAGCTTGTCAGCAAGTCGTCGGATTTCATATCTGAAATACTTTTGATAATGTGATAAGACAGGAACACCTCCATAGAAAAAAAAGAAATACTGATAAGCCTGAAAAATAAAACATCATCTCAGAATAAAACGAGGATGAAAACTAAGAAATTTTCTATGAAAATATCCAGAGGAAAATTGAAGAGATGTTATGGAAGTACTTAGCTATTAGTTTGATCTGATTTGTTAATGAGGTGTAAGGATGCATGTTGATATCAAAGTCGTTAACACATAGACCAGAAAATATGTAGCGGTTCAGGAAAACATGAAAGATTTGTTCAATGTCTGTTAATATCCAATATGTTTTTGCTGTTAAAGATCTCAAATGAAATAATTCCTTCCTTGCATTAATCACAATCTACATCGCTGGTGTCGTCAACAAAGTAGAAGACGCCTACATCTCCGTCACACATAGTCTTATTCTCACTTTACTTTTTTCAGGAGTGTACGTAGTATTTATTTTACTGTGTGTCACTCTTTCTAATGATTTGTTCGGATTTAGAATTTGTGAACCATGTCAGTATGTTGTTGGTTTCCTATGTGTAATACATCTCCTGAAACTGCTGAATGTAATAACAAAGATATCCGCAGTCATTAATATAATTACATTTACATGTAGGTTTAATTGCTTAGAGGTACTTTTTAACGTAATACACATCAGGGTCATGTCATGACCTTTGTAAAGAAAAGAACAAAATCAAAATCTGCTGCTGGCACACAAGGGAAATATCATAAAAACGATCTTATATAGCTAGTACTAGTTACAAATTACTATTGAATTTGGAACTGATAATTATTTCTTTAGGTAGAGAATATGTGTTGTATATTGTTTTTCGTTCACTCGAGTTATGTTTTTCTCAAGAGCTTAAGCTCGTGTTTTGTGAAATATTGAAAGGTATAGCTAAACAAAATTCAATAACAATTATAATGGAAAATATGTGCTTAAGGGACATGCTAGTTATAGAAATTTTGATGTTACATAAAAAATATAGCCATAAAGAAAGTAAGTATATAATTAATACTTTTGTACTGAATATACTTCTGATATTCCATTCTTTCTTTTCTTGTTTTTTGTTGTTGCAGAAACAAAACAGAATGTCTTTTTTCTTATTTCGATCATTTGCGGCATTATAATCATGGTACATGGCCACAAAGTTTAAAAATACAAAATAATTATCTCTATTCTAATTCATGTAAATGTAAAGTTGTAAAAACACAAAGATACAGTGTCGTTTTATGCATTCTTTTAGATATATAGTTAACCTTGCTCAGTGCTCGTGACATCATTTATAATCAGTCGTTTCCGAGGTGATGGAATTGCAAGCTACAAACATCAAATTATGTATATTTTGAAATGTTAAATTCCTTTGCGTTGAAAACAGGCATTTGCTAACGTTTTCTCAAAAGTAATCATTATCCGATGTTATTGAACGACACTGGCATAATAACAAGTGAAGCCAAAATGCTAGCACTCATTAGATTTTACGAGCTCAATAACGCATAACAGTCGTTATTTGAAAAAGAAATATATATGGAAATATTATCAGCAGTAGAACAATATTGGCAAAGCAGATCATCCCCTGATCATTGATGTTTTGACACGTTTTCATATTTTTAATAGCATTTTATATGACTAGACATACACTATCTATTACATCGAGAAGCCACTGTTTTTGTCGTGCAATATCTTTATTAAGGAACTGGCTGTATGGTAATGGACGTGTAAATCCGGTAGGTAAAGTTCGTGCCATTTATGGTTTCTTCATGCGTCCTTTAGTAATACTTTATTTACACGTATTTCACATTCTGAAGATTGTATCTGTGCATTCAACTGTCATGTGTCAACTTTCCGGGCATTGCTTTGTCAAGTTTCTACTTCACGTCAATGAGCCATATTTACGTTGGTAATACGGATATTTATTCACATCTTTGGAACATTTTGTTTTGCAATATATTTACGTAAATCATTTGCACGTGTCATTTTGTCAATCTATCTGAAGCCTGTGACCTTTACCTGTTAGTTATAAAGGGATTACATACTATAACCAGTTTTGATAAATTTATTTAGTAAATATACATAAACCAAAACACACATTTTAGATAGACATTCAACGATTTGTGATTAGTTTTCGACATGGAAGTACAATGTAGGGAGAAATGAGGTGTTAACTGGGGTATCTAAATGTAAATTTAGACGCGTCGGCGAGGAGGCAAGCTCCAAAGGTAATTTGAAAAAGCCTAGAAAGAATATTTCGGCATCGGTTCGAAATATGATCTTAAAATGCTCACCGTTTCCAGAGAAACTGCCGACTGGTTTCACTCCTCACACTGAACACTTGCTACTTTCTTCACCTTAGGTATACCATCTAATACAACGCTATCAATTGCATGCATTGTGTTTATTCAATTCCACAAAATCATGATAAAAAGAAACACTCTTCCAAGACACAGCTTTTATTCGAAAAATAGAGAAATATATTAATGTCATGTATGTCAAAGTTCTTCGGCAAGAACAAAGAGAAAAAACAAGAATAATGAAAATATTTCTTAAAATAGCAAAATATTTCTCAATCTTCAGGAATGCTTTATAATATATCATTCTAAATATAGACTAAGTTTTATATTATTATTATGATGTATCAAAACATTACTGTTCAAGTTTACAAGTCATTGCTATGAATAATGGTCTGTAGCAATCATTACCTCATTTACTCATTATAGAACTATTATTTTTCAGTGTCTAAATGTAAATTCGTATTACATACTAAGGGTTAAAGAAATTTAGGCAAAATCACAGTGGATATCAGCTGACTTGTGATTTGGATTCCTGGAAGTGACGATTAATTTTTTTCGTTAGGATGTTTAGACATTTTCGCTTACACCAGGAATGTCAAATGTACTTTTAAGGACTCGGATAATTTTTACGTCTGTCTACGATCAAAAGATTTTGATTGGTTATTTTCAGTTTATTTTAGTAAAAGTGTTTATATCTGGCGAGAAATTGAAAGCTGCATTGTAAGGACTGTAACGCTCCATACATGGGATTTGAAAATATATAAAAACACATTTTATAACGTACACAACATCTTAAGGATAGGTGCAAATGAAAAATAATATTTGTTTATACAACAGACATATGGCAATTTATATCAGTGTATTTACATCTAAGCACAACGGATAGCTCTGTATGATAACTGTGTCTCCGTCATACTTAAGGAATCATTCATAGAAATATTGGTATATTTTGATATTTGTCTTATTTTTCGAACTAATACATAATGTAAATATTATGTAGTTTTACGTGCTTGTCTTAAGTGAGTTTTATATTTGATAGGTATATGATCTTAAATAAAACAAAGATAATTAATTGACATGTATCATCAAATAACATATAATTAAAAAAGGGATCAAAACAATAGACAACAAAAAAATGGTCACCTAGTGACTACATACGTATGCATTTATGATATATCGGGTGACAATCCATAGTTTCTCTTGAATAAAGATAGTATCATTTAAGATATTCTTAAACAAGTCTTTTTCCATGTAAGTAATGCATGTTTTATTTTCTAATCTAAAAATGTTTTAAAAAATCAAATCATTTTTTAACTTCTCTCTTGAAATCGTTATTCTGTTAATAATAAGTAAATTAATTAAAAACATCTATTAAAGTTTGGTCCTTTGAAAAACATTTAGGTGGATAAATTCAAATAAACAGTAGGTTCATTGGAAAACTGCATCTTTTTTGAGCTTTTAGTAGAAAAGATATTCGGAGTCATGCGCCAAATACAGGCACTTCCGTCATTCGTCGTCTTATACAAGACCGGCTTCATCACTCAGAGAGCGGAGCTTCTTCCGGTATATCTGTAAAATACAAAAAGAAAAAAAAAATAAAGACACAAAAGTAAAGGAATTATTGATAAATACGATAAAGCAGTATTCTTTTAATTCATGGACAGTCACCACCAAACAGGATTAACAGCAAACACGTGAAATAATTGTGGGAAAGGAGTATACATTTATAGATCTATATATATATATATAGATATAAGTAAAGCAGACAGCCAATACCAATAATATCGTGACTCTTGTGTCTCAGGAGCGATGATATATTAGATCAATAATGAAATAATCGATTCTAATTTTCTCAGAATCATGTTGGGATTCCAATGTCACAAGTTTCAATCTTCCTAGACCAAACTTTGTAAAAACTCAGCGGGATGAAATATCCCTTTGATTTACGAGGCACCATCTCTATTTGCTCACTAATGAGCCGGTGACTTCTTCAGAATTATTGATATTTCCGTTATCCGTACTTGCTGTTATTTGGTGTGTGCGAACAGTGTGATGTGCGTGTGGCATTTCATCATGTGCTTCCTACTCAAATGTACAACAGTAATAACCCATCGTCTGAATGATAAAGACGCCTTCTGGATAGCATCTATCGTTTACATCGCCAACAAATAATTGATGGGACGATAGTTCAGGCGATTTTGTGCCTCAGTGATCTATGTTTCAATTAAAGAGCAACGCAACAAATCCAAAGTTTAGGATAACAATGTCAGCAAGAAATAAACATCAAATGCAACTGTATTGTAAGTGTAGCCATAATGGTACAACGCATACCGATTAAGGTTGATGGTACGAGAAAACACAGTTTAAACATTGATTTAAACTATTCTCTAATATTGCTATCTTTATATTGGAGGTAAAATTCTTTTCGGAAATCACAGTGTCACTTAAATGATAAACATAGCTTAACCATTCGATGTCGAAAATGATGCATCTGATCGATGTAAGTAAATACTAATACAAAGCAGATTTCTAATTGTGGTGTGTTTCAAACCCATATCGGTGAAAATATCAGTCTTACATGGGTCAAAGCACACGCACACTCTGTTCATTCAGTCAGATTTTCTGAGAACGTTTCCACAAGAAGTAATGAAAGTTGTTCATTATTGACAAACAACTTACCATTCACAAATGCGTAAATGCCAACCGCCCATATCCTAATATGATGGTCAATCGATGCTTATTAACTTTTCCGCGGGGATAGGACTCCATCAGACCAACGTCGATCAATATGGTAAATAAATACTCTAACTAATTATTAATTTTCTTGAGGATATATTAGGTACGCTGTATTTTATTAGCATGGATTTGAAGCAAAATGTCACTCTACAAGATCATTGGAGGACCTGTTATGGATGTTAACACACATGTACAAACTGTTCTGAACCGCAATAGATAAGGGAAATTAAAGTTATTCCTGCCAGTTTTGTCTATTGAGTGTAAAGTCAAGCTTTCAAAGGACAAGAAATATAAATACTTGCTTTCTTGTCAACAGTCGGAACCGTCTTGCTCTTAATTGGAATTAATTTAATGGTAACATTTATTCCTTAAACACCTTGCGATCTACATTCATCACTCCTAACAGTTTCGTTGGAAAGTGTTCCGTATAAATGAGTACCAATAGTGTAACCGAAAAGATACTTGTCACCGGGAGACAGCAAATCGTAAGCAATGTCTTCAGCGAGATTTTAGCATCAACCATACAGACAACATCTTCATTTTTTACAGCACCATTTAATTAATTACACCAAACAAGTATTTGGAAATTCGGTATAGATCAGCCTAAAGCGAGAAGACATGGTCATGGCGATTTATGAAATAAAACATGTCTACATTGTTCTATAAAACAAAAAGTGGCTAGCTTTTTAAGATAAGATGACATCATGATAATTATTATAAAACAAATTGCTCCTTACACGTTATAACTAGCTCTGTGTTTGCGTAAAGCATGTTAACTCCTGGGATTGTTAAACCTTACACCTGGGAAATCAGTAAGATAGACGCATCCAGAAAGGGTCGATAAGGCACAAGGGAAATTTCTCCCTGGAAAAAAATCGTGCAATAAACATTCCAAGGATTGAAAATGCGTATTGCAATACCTTAACAGTTGGCAAGAAAGTACACATGATATATGTATGAGAACAGACAAGGAAATGTACGAGAAAGGTGTGTCAGGAGAGACAAAGAAATATGTACTATAAGTGTGTCAAGGTGAGAGATGAACGTACACACATGAAACGTATTTGTATTTTTTTAAGAGACTAGGAAGTAAACACGAGAGCTTAGTGTGAAGAGAGAAGGAAGAATACATGATATACTGAGTCCGAAAAGAAACGCAAATCTGAATTCAGATACGTTATTGTAAGAAATCAAAATCAGGAACCGAATTCTTATTGATTTATTCAATAGTTTGTTAAAAGCAATTAAACAAAATGTGGTTAGATTGTCTATTGTCTGTTTAATGAAGGTACCTCTATGTAGGGGAAATCAGAATACAGAGAATATAGAGAGTCTGGTAGAAAACCTGGGGCAAATTGTTCCATTCCCAGAGGAGTCTCTGTTCCAGCTGTGCCAACGTCAACGGAGCTCCACCAACAGCGATTCTTATCCCAATTTCATTCCTCACATACAAAATAGACGGCCAAGGAAACCCATATGTACTCGAGCAGTGTGGGTACGGACATTGTCCTGCCGGTAAAGCTGTAGTTGCGGCTGTGCAGCAAATAAGGGAACGACATAAGGCCTGATAACGTCATCCATGTACAACATGCATGTTACACGTTGACGGAAGACGTTGAAAGATGTCCGATGGTGGTAAATGAGGGCTCCCCATACCATCACGCTGCCGCCATTCCATCTGTTAGCCTGTATGACACGAAAATCGGCGTAACGTTCGTTTATTGGCCACCAGCATGGGAAAGAGAAGAGAACTCGTCGCCAGTCAACAAGACGCTATCGTTGATGATTCCTTGCCCATTGCAGACGTTGCTTGTGATGACACTGAGTGAGAATAGGCCATACGCGGGGACGTACGGCAGTTAATGCCATGTTCACATAGGCGATGCCGGACGGTCTCGGCGGACACTGGGCGTCTTCTAACTCTGATGGCAGCTGCTGTTCTGATTGCAGGCTGGGTCCGGTTACGAAGGTGAGTTACCCGGATCTTGGGCCTGAGTTGTCAATCTTGATCTCCTCTTACGGGGATGATCAGAAACGTAACCCGTTTGTTGGAAGCTTCCAGCAAGCCTGGTGATATTGCTAACATGACATCCCAAGCATTTGACTACCATAGTGGCAAAGGTACTCGCCTGCAAATTTCAAGAACCATTCCTCTCGTTTCATTTGCGCTAACTCCACTGAGTGAATGTTTTGAGACATACCACTTCATAAAGGGCATGTTCGGTTTAAACTCACCTGTATTGGCAACACCCGTTTTACGATTTTACGCATTTCGCATGTGTTGGTGTGAACAGTGTCGAGAGCGAAAAAAACAACACACCATTTCATCATTTGCACTCACAACTTTATATTATTGATATTAACGGTAGTATACAAAAGGTCAAAACTAAAAATATTACGTGAAAATGTATAAGTGTGTCAAGAGAAAGATGGAAAAATTTACAAAAGGTGATTCTTTAGAGACTAGGAAGTATACAAGATAGATGTATTAGGAGTGACGCGGGGGTATGGATGGTAAGTGTGTGAGGAGCGGCAAGAAAGTAAACATTATAGGTACATTAGGGACGACACGGAAGTATATACAATAGGTGTGTCAAGAGAGACAAGGAATTATACACGAGATGTGTTTAAGGAGTGACGCGTGTAAAGACGTTTAAAAAATCGATAGGTCGGTGTTTTATGAAAGACACGCAGATATAACATGTAAGTGCACCAAGAAAGACACAAAAGTAGTTCAAGGTTCATGTGCAATGGAAGACAATGTAATAAAAATTAGGCAAGGTGACTTGGATGAGATTGGGGAAGGAGGTGGAGTATTAGGTATCAAGCGCGTGAGAATTTTCTTTTGAAATGTCCACTGTTTCCTTATAAAATGTAATGAGATAATGCAGTTTTCTTTGATTAAATACACAGAATCAATGACTCGATAAATATAGCAACCCTTAGGCTGTAAATAATGATTGCTATTGAAACCATGTCCACAAATGAAATACAGAATATATATATAGCAGGCAAAAATATTGATTTCGAAAATAAAACAAGACAGTAAAGGCAGGTTCTTATTTGATAAAAATGTGCTTGTATGTGAATCTAACTGGTAACAATATCAATATTTCTACGATAAAATATGTTCCTGACTACAGACTAGGTTGAGATGACATGGCAGCGGAAAGAAAACCACGTCTATTTGCATTATACCGTTTTTAGTCAGTTTTATCAAATGTTGAAATCTTCGAACCACCTAACCATTTTTTCAGCTATTTATTTCAATTGCTTCATTGTAACATATAACTTGTTTTGACTTTATGAAACGATAAGTAATATAAAATAAAAACATTCTCAGGCTCTAAATGGGATGGGGTTGTCATGGATATTGATCGGATAACATGCAGGTTATGTTTGCGTTTCTGGTACTTTAGACACGACGTTTTTTAAAAGACAACTTAATGTTACAATATTTGTCATTGTCTACAATACCTTTGGCATTATTAGAATAAATATTTTTGTTTTACGATGTTCTACAGTATCTGTATTGTAGGGTATACTGTTGGGTTTCCTACAATAAATAAATACATATAAATATATACTTTGTCTATTGTATGATATGAGTAGTTTGAGGATAAAGAATATTACTTTTCCCTGCGTACACGTTTCAAATATGAATCAACCGTTAAGAGAATCAATGTTTGTATCAACATGTCAACCTCCCGAACCTTTCTTTACCGTCGATAAGTGTTCGTAATTTAGAAGCCACCGTGCAAATGACCACAAACTGAATACACTCTACCATAGACAACGTGAAGAACAATACATAAGACTGCTTGGCACTGCTG